ACCAGGGATCGAACTCAGGATTGATCAGTAAGTGTAAGCTGTCACCACAGCCTGAAGGATGAGATGTGGCTTGATGTATTAGCAGAAAAGAGAAAAGAGTATCAAAGACTACTCATTTGGTATAAAATTGCCTGTGACTCTGGTGTCAAACCTGGAGTCTGGTCTTTCCACAACCACATTATGGGCCCAAATCATTCATCTAGTGAATTTAACATGAGCTTCATGGGCTTATTGTCTATTCTTTTTCTCTTATTTTTGGATTGGGATTAAATCTAAAGCCTTCACACTGAACTACATTCCAGCCCCCCTGCCTCAGCCTCCCAAGTAGCTGGGATTTTCTTTTTTTTTTTTTTTAGCAATGTCTCTGTCTTTTTTTTTTAATTTTATTTATTTGTGTGTGTGTGTGTGTGTGTGTGTGTGTGTGTGTGGCCAGCTCAGCCCACCGGGGGCGGGGCTGGCCGGCATGTGGTGCTGGGGGATTGAACCGCGGTCCCTGTGCTCTGCCAAGCCTGTTCCAAGTAGGTGCCTTAGACCACTGAGCCATCTCACCAGCCCCGGGATTTTCTTTTTTGAGGCAGGATCTCACTATATATCATGCTCACCTGGAACTCTTGATTTTCCCGAGTACTAAAATTATAAGTATGTGACCCACACCCAACCATATTTTTCCTTCACGCTCAGCAATCTAGAGCTTTTCGTGTATCTGACTTTCTTTCTTCTCCCTTCCCTCCTTCCATTTCCTTGCTGTAGATGGACGCAGGGCCTCCTGTATTCTGGGCAAGCATGCTACCACTGAGCCACACCTGCAACCCTCTGATTTTCTTTTCTTTTCTTTTTTTTTTTTTTTTTTTGCGGAACTGGGGATTGAACTCAGGCCCTTGCGCTTGCCAGGGAAGCGCTTATTCTAAAAGCTGTGGTTTGAGCTGTGGTTTGTTTTCATTCCAGTTCCAGCTCAAATTTATTTCTCACTCTTCACCCAAGTTTGGCAACACTATCCAAACTATTTCATTTACAGTAGGTACAGCTTCTAAGGTTATTTTTTTAAGGAAGGAAAGGTTTATTAGCTCACAGTTTGTGGAGGTTTCAGTCCATACTCAGCTGGGTCCAAGGCAGAGTGGCACATGGAAGAGGGCAGCATTTCATGGCAGCAGAAAGCAGCAAAATAGCAGGAGCAAAAGGGAGGAGTATCAGCAGAGCAAGCCTTTCCCTTCCATTGAACTGAGGCTGCCCACCCTGGGGCAGGTGTAGCTCTCACATCCATAATCCCAGCATTGGATCATGAATTAGTCACAAACTCTAGAAGCTTCCCCCTAACTGCATGAGGCTTTGGGGGGACATCTAGACCCAAACCATAACATGCCACCCTTGCCCCCACAAAGACTCATGCATATCCCTTTATGCAAAAGGCATTTTAGTCCATCTCTAAGATGGACTGCTGCCAAAGTCCTAACAGTTTCACTATTGCTGAAAAATCCAAGTCCCAAGTCTCCTCCAAGATCTAAGACAATTCCTGGCTCTGCAAAAAAAAAAAAAAAAACAAGATCTAAGACAAAGTCTCAGCTGTGAGCCCCTGTACAAATGAAAAGTTAAACACTGCCAACATTCAATGGCACAAGGTAAACTGTCATTCTACTCTGTATCTCACTGTTTGTTGTGTCCAAACAGCGGGATATAAAGCATTGGGATCAGTGCAAGTCCAGAATCCTGCAGAGCAAACATTTAAGTCCTGCAGTTCCATGTTCAACATCCAAGGCAGTCTGTGGCAAGTTGTGAGTTCCATGTGGCTCCACCTCGATGGCACTTTTGCGGGTAGCTCCCTTGACTTCTCTTAGGCCTGCTTTGCTCCTTTTTTTTTTTTTTTTTTGCAGAACCAGGGACTGAACTCAGGCCCTTGTGCTTGCCAGGGAAGTGCTTATTCCACTGAGCCATCTCCCCGGCGCTTTTTTTTTTTTTTCTCTCTTCTTGCACACTGTCTGACCTCCCAGGCCTTCTGAAATCTAGGTGGAAGCCTTTCTAACCTCTGAGGTTATTTCTGATTGTTATATTAGCAGCTAGCATGGCAGCTCTATGAGAGCAGGGACCATTTTTGTGTGAGTTGCAGCTGGCACCCAGCAGAGGCTCCTCGAAGGCTGGCCTGTTATTTCTACATGCTTGGGCCCCTCAGATGGCCCTTTGAGGTTTTGCCCATCTATAGGAATCTCAGTTCTGACTGAGACCAAGAACAGTTGTCACCATGAAGACCTTGGGGTTGTGAGAGCTTTGGCATCAGAGGCAACAGTTTTCCTGTTAGGAAGTGATAAACTCCAAATTAGGGGCCCACATCCCAATTGGCACCTACCCATTTTGGAAAAAACTCCACAGATGAATGGTGAAGATGCAATGTCTCTGCCCCAGTGACAGCTCAGCTCCCTGGCTCCTCCCATTTCACTGACCTTCATTCTCAGCACATGCCATATCACCCCAAGGTACCTAGGCTTTCTCTCTCTCTTTTTTTTTAAATTTTATTTATTTGTGTGTGTGTGTGTGTGTGTGTGTGTGTGTCCAGCTCAGCCCACCAGGGGGCGGGCTGGCTGGCATGTGGGGCTGGGGGATTGAACCGCGGTCCCTGTGCTTTGCTAAGCTTGTTCTAAGTAGGTGCTTTAGACCACTGAGCCAACTCACCAGCCCATAGGCTTTCTCTCAAATCATGTCACACTTTGTCCCCTGAGATTAGGACCCCAGCTTCAGATTTCATGTCAGCTTGCGTTAGTCATGAAAAGCAGACAGCCAATGTGGTCCAGTGTTTTCCTTTGCATTCATAAACTCTGGGAGCCCAGTCAGGAGGCACATGAAGGAAGGGTGAGCCAGGCATGGTGGTGCAGGTCTGGGTCTCGGCCCTTGGGAGGCTGAATAGGAGGCTCTTGAGCTCAAGGCCAACCTGGCCTACATAGAGGAGAGCCTGTCTCTTTTTTTATGTATTTAGTACAGAGTCTACAGGCTCTCACTGCATAGATCAGACTTGTAGTGATTCTTCTATTTTCAGCCTCCCAAGTGCTGGGATTACAGGTGCGTGCCACCATGCCCAGTCTCAATCACTCAGCGTGCCCCTGGGTAGGGCCAGCACAGCACACGAGATGGAGCCTGTCTTCTTAAGTAGAAGGTAGAGTGAATCGATGAGACTGAGTCACGGACAGGTTATGTGACTTACCTGAGACCACACATCTCATGGTTGTCAGAGCTTCTGCCAGTGTCCAAATCACACTAGCTTGTGAAACATACGGCTTAATGTCCACACAACAGCTGGTGCATTAATGACATTATTAAAACAACCTTATTGTTAGATTGTGCCGATGATATCTTACAGCCTTATAGGAAGTTTTAGGCCAGATGTGGTGGTGTATGGTATGTGTCTGTGATACCAGCACTTGGAAGGCTAAGCCAGGAGGATTGCTAGGAGTTCAAGGCCAGCCTGGGCTACATAGTGTGATCTTGTCTGAAACAAAAATTAAGAGGGTTTAAAAATAATTTTTAAAAATAAAATATAGGGGCTGGGCAGATGGCTCAGTGGAATAAGTACTTCCCTGGCAAGCGCAAGGGCCTGAATTCAATCCCCAGTTCCTCCCAAAAAAAAGATAATATTGTCAAAAACAACAAGGCTGGTGGTGCAGATCTGTAATCCTACTATTCAGAAGGCTGAGGCAGGAGGATTGCTATAAGTTTAAGGCCTGTACAACACAGTGAGATCCTGTCTCAAAAAAAAAAAACCATAATAAGGTCAGGCATGGTGGTACACACCTGTAATCTTAGTACTTGGGAAACTAAGGCAGGAGGGTTGCTTTGAGTTTGAGGCCAGCCTGGGCTACAAAGTGAATTCAAGGCCAGCCTGAATTGCATAGTAAAACTCTGTCTCATAAAAATTTCTGGCACTGAGAATATATGAGGAAGCTATTACACCTTAGATTTCAACCTTGTAAATTCTGTTTATCCTGAGACCCAGCTTCTAGTTGGAGTTGAAATAAAGATGATTTGGATAGCCTCCTTGAATACAAACTCCAAAACCATTTGATTGGAGCTGGTGAGATGGCTCAGTGGTCTAAAGCGCCTACTTAGAACAAGCTAAGCTAAGCAAAAGCACAGGGACTGCGGTTCAATCCCCAGCACCACATGCCAGCCAGCCCCGCCCCCTGGTGGACTGAACTGGCCACACACACACACTAAATAAATAAAGTTAAAAAAACCAAAACCATTTGATTGATTATACCCTTTTTCTGTACACACTCAAGCCGCAGGTCTCCGGAGACGGAGACATGCAAGTCCAAGCACTCCGGGTCAATGTGTGCACATGGACTCTTCTCATCACAGTGCTGCCCAGTGGCACAGAAGTCACTCTAAGAACTAGGGAACCAATTGGTGTGGTGGTGCTTGCCTGTAGTCCCAACACAGTAGGCTGAGGCAGGAAGATCACTGAGAGTTCAAAACCAGCTTGGGCAACATAGTACAAGACCAGCCTGGACTACATGTTGAGACCCTGTCTCAAAACAAAGCAAACAACAACAAAAAACTAGACAATCTTCTGGGAACATCTGCATATATGTTCAATTTCTTTGTTTTGTATTTTTGAGATGGGGCCTTGCTGTTGTTGTTTAGGGGCCTTAAACTCTCAGCGATCTTCCTGCCTCATCCTTCCAATTATGGGATTATAGGTATGCACCACCCACACCCTGCTTTGTAGGGTTACATTTTTTTTATTTAAATTTTATTTTATTCCAGTTTTGCTTGGCCGAAGTTAAGTAGCCTATACAATTAAGAAAATTGTATTTTTGACTTCTAGTAAGTGATTTGGAGACTTAATTCCCCATTCCTGGACACTATTATCCTTGGACATTATTCCTATGGATACTTAAAGTGTTACAATGGAGTGGGTAAAACCAAATGGGTGGAGCCTCCATCCTTGTGCGGGAAGCTACAATCCCTGCGCTTGCAAGACTCCCACGCCCGGGAAGGATTCTATCGATTCACTCTGTGTTCAGCAGCATGTTCTGGAAGCAGGCGGCCATCTTGCCTGGAGCCTGAGAAAAGGAGAGACAGAAGAAACGGGTGACACTGGTCTCAGGGTCGCCCCGGGGGCCTCAAGAGCCGGAGGCAGCCCCGGAGGTGGTCCTCGATCCTGGGCTATGCTCTTGGACCCAAGAACGGAAGGCGGAGGGTGGTGGGGGCAAGATGGGTGGGGAACGTCAAACCAGGATTGCTAGGCGGGGGAGGAGCGTTGCTATGGCGACCGGGGAGGGGCGGGTAAGGTATGAATTGCTTTTGTGAGTCACCCGGGTGCTGCCCAGGAAGGGCCGGGCTGGGCTGGGATGATGACCATGATAACAGCTTGGTGGGATTTCGTGACATTCCCAGCGTGGAGGGACCTGGTGTCACAGCCACCTTGTGGAAGGGGCAGAACTAGATCCTTTCGCTTGAGATGCTGACATTCCAAGCCCTTGTCCTGCAGGCTTCCGCGGGCGGACACGCCAGAGGAGGAGGCCGGGGAATGGCCGCGGTGTGGCAGCAGGTCTTAGCAGTGGACGCGAGGTGAGGCGTGGGGGTCTGATCCCCAGGGAGCGGAACTTACTGTGGTGCATGCGCAGTGGCGATAAGTGAGGCTGGGCGGAGAACTTAATGGGTTGAGCGGGCTTGCTGGAGATGAGCATGCGCGGTTAGTAGGCTGTGGTGGCACACCTGCGGAGAAGTGCCTCCCACTGGAGCTGGAGAGGGTTCCAAAGAGCATGCTGGTGAAATGCAGGCAGATATGAGCAAGCAAGGAGGCTTTTAGGAGAGCATGGTGGAGCTTAGACTGGCAACTTCCTAGTCCCTATTATTGCTCCCTATCCCTTTTCCTACTATCACTACCCCAGTCTGCCCCATTGCCCCATCTCGTACTGACCTGCACTATTGCCCCATACTAACCTCCATAGTCGTGCCAATCTGGCATCTACCACCATGCTGGACTAACCCTTGTTACTGTTTGCACTGTCATCCCATACTGACCCCAAAAGAGCTTCAGACTGACTCTCATCTCCAAACTGACCTTATTACAATATCCATTATTACTGCTGAATCACCCCCATCGCAGCACCAGGAAGAACCCCCAACACCACTGTTGGTCACCCTTGCCACCCTGACTCCACTCAGTGCCACACACCTTATTTCTCTTGCTCTCTGCCCTAAGCTGATTGATTTTCTCTGTTCTGTGCCTGCTGCCCCTCCTGACCTGGCAGATACAACGCGTACCGCACACCAACGTTTCCACAGTTTCGGACCCAGTATATCCGCCGGCGCAGCCAGTTGCTTCGGGAGAATGCCAAGGCTGGGCACCCCCCAGCACTGCGTCGGCAGTACCTGAGACTACGAGGCCAGCTGCTGGGCCAGCGCTACGGGCCCCTCTCTGAGCCAGGCAGTGCTCGTGCCTACAGCAACAGCATCATCCGCAGCAGCCGCACCACCCTTGACCGCATGGAGGTGAGCCCCTGGCCACATACCCCCCTCACACGTACCCTCACACACATACATATACCCTTCTCTGTTGCTTTGCAGCTGGCTGGCCTTAGCAGGCTGGCCTCAGCAGGCCTCCATACATTGAGCACCACTGTTGGTAAGCACCTGTGCTGACAGGCCACTGTTTCTGGTACTTAGGGTCAGTAGAGGACAAAAAGATACTGCACCTACTACATCAGCAGACAATAAACATGACAAAAATACAACAAAAACCCAAAACACCAGATGTAGTGGTGCACACCTGTAACCCCACCACTCAGGAGGCAGAGGCAGGAGGATTGCCACAAGTCTGAGGCCTGCCTGGACTACATAGTGACTGAAGCCAGCCAAACTACATAGCAAGATCCTGTCTCCAAAAAAAAAGACAGTAAACGTGAGAAACATGCTAGGTAAACGTGTCGATTACCACCATGCTGGGTGGAGAGGTACTAAGATGGAAAAATAAAGCAGAGTTGAAGGAGAAAAGGGCCCAGTGTGTGTAGCAGGGATGTAGTTCAGTGGCAAAGCACTTGCCTAGTTGTGTGAGTTGCTAGGTTCTGTTTCCAGAACCACACACACAAAGGACCAGTGTGAGGGGCAGAAGGAAGCTACAGAGCTGGTTAGGAAAGACTGCCCTTCAGAGGTGACGAAGTAGTTTTCTAGATGAGAGTGTTTGTCTTTCATGCAGTGAAGAGTACTGAGCCTAAGCATGTGTTGAATATGTGCTGAACAAGGCCAGGGCAGAGGTACAAGTAAAGGAGCCACTGCAGTGGCACAGGCCAGCAGTGACAGTGGGGGCAGAGGACACATGTGGTTAAGAAGGGATCAGGTTCTAGGTATATTTTGAGGGCTCCAGACCTGCTTGAACACACTGTGACCTGCCTGGTTCCGCCTCACAGTGCTGGTATTACAGATATATGCCACCACGTGTGGCTCAGGACATATTTTTAATTTGCACATACCCTGTGTCTCTCTTGTAGGACTTTGAGGATGATCCTCGAGCCCTGGGGGCTCGTGGACACCGCCGTTCTGTCAGCCGTGGATCCTACCAGCTGCAGGCCCAGATGAACCGAGCAGTCTATGAAGACAGGTATGCAACAGAGACAGCTGAGGGTGGCAGTTGTGATGGAGAGGGGTCCAGGGGTGTGGCGAGCTAAACACCTGCACCTGTTTCTTGTCACCCCCTGCTTGAGACTAGGCCCCCCGGTAGTGTGGTACCCACGTCAGCAGCTGAGGCAAGTCGGGCGATGGCCGGGGACACTTCGCTAAGTGAGAACTATGCCTTTGCGGGCATGTACCATGTTTTTGACCAGCACGTGGATGAAGCAGGTGAGCTAGTGGGTGGCAGGTCCTATCACTAAACATTTGTCCAGACAATGGCCCAAGGCATCCTTGCCAGGATACAAGGCTGCTGCCAGGCCTCTAAAAGAAGAATTACCACCTGCAGCACCTTAGGCAAACCCAGAAGCCCCTATGAAGTGCTCCACAGTCCCCGTACTTAGATATCAGAAAAGGATTCCTTGGAAACTCAGAGTGCTTTGCAGCCGGCCACCTGGGTTTGTGAGTCCCTTGAAAGGGTTCCAAGTGGCTGCTGCTGCTGCTGCTGAGAAATCCCTCTACAGGGTGGAGTGGGTGCACAGGGTCTGAGAAACCTAGTGGCTGTAAAGTGCCTGCTAGCTAAGACAGCAGGAGCTTTTTTGCATCACAGAAGCCACTTTGTGGAGTGCCTGCAGAGATGTGGGGAGCAGTATGACAAGGGGGCCATCTGAGGTTACCAATGCCAAGGAGAGCCCTTTGCTGAGGCCATCGTTCTTGTGCTGTGGGTTCACATCCTCTGTCAGACCCTTCTGTGCAAATGTATGCAGTGAGCATGCTGACTTCCACAGATGGGTCCTTGTCTTTGCAGTCCCCAGGGTGCGCTTCGCCAATGACGACCGACACCGCCTGGCCTGCTGCTCACTGGACGGCAGCATCTCCCTGTGCCAGCTGGTGCCCGCCCCACCCACCGTGCTCCATGTGCTGCGGGGCCACACCCGTGGTGTCTCTGACTTTGCTTGGTCTCTCTCCAATGACATCCTTGTGTCCACCTCACTTGATGCTACCATGCGCATCTGGGCCTCTGAGGACGGCCGCTGCATCCGGGAGATCCCTGACCCTGATGGCGCTGAGCTGCTCTGCTGCACCTTCCAGCCTGTCAACAACAACCTCACTGTGGTCAGACTCCAGGGCACATGCTCACCATGGGGCTGTGCGAGGGCATCGGGTATAAGGTCTAGGAGCTCCCGGGTCCCATTGCAACATCCTTGCTGTGGTCAGACTCAAAGGGAAGGAGGCCAGAGAAGAGAGAGGCCACACAGTTTGTGGTCTCAAGTGGCTTTGCCGGGTGGACTCTGGGTGGCCAGAGTCATGGCTCTGGGACCCCTTTGGTCCCATTAGCCAGAGTCCTGCAGTTGTCTACCTTCAGGGTCTGCAGCTGAGTAGCAAGATCGTGAAACTGCAAACTCATACGTCTGTGAGTGACAGCTCCACCATGGTCACACTCCAGGACAGACTGGTCAGAGGGCAGGAAGGCCAAAGAAAGTGGCCTGGAAGTTGGTCAAGTGTGAGCCGGTGCTCAGCACCTTTCTCCATTTAGAGCAGCAGTTTCACGGTCTTCAGAGTGGAGCTGTCACGTCAGATGTAGGAAAAGTTGTTAGGTCATCATAGGCCTGGATTGTAAAGTGGTTTTTAGACTGGCCAGAGGTGACATTATGGCTCTGAGATCTCGTTAGTCCTGTGAACAGTTGTCCTACTCTGGGCAGATCACAAGAGGGACTGGCTAGGGAACAAAGTAGATGCCTTATTGTCTTCTGTTCCCCTGCCACAGCCCCTCTGTGATCAAGAACTGCCTGGGTGTGGGATGAGGGTATGTGTATTCTCCCTGCAGGTGGGGAATGCCAAGCATAACGTGCACGTCATGAACATCTCCACTGGTAAGAAAGTGAAGGGTGGCTCCAGCAAGCTCACAGGCCGTGTCCTGGCTCTGTCCTTCGATGCTCCTGGCCGGCTGCTCTGGGCAGGTGATGACCGTGGGAGTGTCTTCTCCTTCCTCTTCGATATGGCCACAGGTAGGCAGGCCACAGCCTTGCATCTGGGTGTTGTCCCTCTATCTCCCAGGGTTCAAATCTCATGCTCACCTCTGCCTCTGCCTCCACTACCACAGGAAAGCTGACCAAAGCCAAGCGGCTGGTGGTACATGAAGGCAGTCCAGTGACCAGCATCTCTGCTCGCTCCTGGGTCAGCCGTGAGGCTCGGGACCCCTCGCTGCTTATCAACGCTTGCCTCAACAAGCTTCTCCTCTACAGGTGGGCCTTTCACCCTCCATCAGACTGGGCCAAGAGTCTGCCTCCCAGTAGTAGGTTGTGTCAAGGCTGGAGATGTAACTCAGTCACGGAGCACTTGCCTATCATGCACAAGGCCCAGTATTGCAGCCGATGATAATAACAACAGCAGTACTCCAAGATAACAACAATAAGGCCAGTTGCGGCAGTAAGAAAAACAGTGGTAGCGAGTGCCTGTACAACAGTTGGCACACCATGGCCAGGGCCCATTCAGATCACTTCCTACGCATCATCTCATGTAGTACTCATGTCAGCCAGTGCTGTAGGCACTATTATTGTCTTTCTGTTGCAGTCCAGTGGACCAGAGCCTTGGGCTGAGGGTGCAACTCAGTGGTAGAGTGCTTGCCTGGTATGTGCCAGGCCCTGGGTTTGAAGCCCAGAACTGGAAAAAAATCCACCATGGTCCCCTGGTAGCACAGGTGTTTTCTTTCCGTACTCTCATTCATTATGTGTATAGAATTTGAAGCACTGAGGTCTGAACCCAGGGCCTACCTACTAAGCTAAATCCCTTTGTTCGCTAGAGATAGAGTCTCACTGTTTTGAACTTTATGTAACTTTACCATGCTGGCATCAGACCTGGAATCCTTATGCCTCAGCTTCCTGAGTACTTGAGTACTTTTTTTTTCCTTTGGCAGAACTGGGGATTGAACTCAGGCCCTTGCAATTGCCAGGGAAGCACCTATTCCACTGAGCCATCTCCCCAGCCCTAGCCACTATTATTATTGTTATTGTTGTTATTACTACTACTATTGTCTTTTTGAGACAGGGTCTTACTATGCAGTTCAGGCTGACCTTGAGCTCACTTTGTAGCCCATGCTACTCTTAAGATTTTTTTTTTTTTGCAGAACCGGGGATTGAACTTAGACCCTTGCGCTTGCCAGGGAAGCGCTTATTCCACTGAGCCATCTCCCCGGCCCACCCATGCTACTCTTGAACTCACAGCAATCCTCCTGCCTCAGCCTTCCGAGTGCTGAGATTACAGGGATATACCACCATGCCTGGCTATTGTACTATATTTTTTTTCTCCTTTAAAAATTTCTGGGGCCGAGGAGATGGTTCAGTAGAATAAGTGCCGCCCTGGCAAGTGTAAGAGTCTGAGTTCAATCCTCAGTTCTGCAAATAAATAGATAGATAGATAGATAGATAGATAGATAGATAGATAGATAGATAGATAATTTCTATGTACCACTTGCTATGCTGGCCGCACCGCAGGGTGTGCTGAGCCTGCCACTGAGTCCCAGCGTGGTGGCGCACGCCTATAATTCCAGTGCTGGGGAGGCTGAAAGCAGGAGGATCACTACCAGTCTGAGCTGGGTATTGAGACCCTGTACAAAAATAAATTTCTCTGTAGATATATACTTTCTAAATTTTTAATTTAAATATATGCTTAAGATTTTTTCATTTTGTTTTTCTTCCTTGTTTGTTTGAATTACTTGTTTTGAGATGGTCTTGCTGTGTAACTCAGACTGAGCTCAAACTCATGCTCTTCCTTACCATGGCTTCCCCAGTGCTGGAATCACAGGCAGGCAGCACCGCACCACCCCCCACTCGCCATCCTTCCACCTGCTGCCTCGGCCCTCCCCCTGCCACAGTGTTGAGGCCAGTGGGCATCATGTCAGCATCTCAGTGCTCACACACCCTCCCACTATGCTGAGGAGGGGCACGCTGCCCAGAGAGGGGCCTTGTGCTTCTCAAGCACGTCTCTGTTGTCTGCCCTGAAGATGCCTCAGGAACCCCCAGTCACCCGCAGGAGCGAGAGTTCATTCTCTTCAGTTGTATGCGGCTTTCACAGGGTGGACAGACTGGTTGTACAGCCACTTCCTCTCTTTGTGCCTGTCTTGATGCCAGGATGGCTTTGATTCTGAGAAAGAGAAAGGAGTAAATGAGACTGCAGAGGCTCCCATTTGTGTCAACAGATACTGCAGCCAGGCTGCGGTAGATTCGCACAGCAGCTCCACTGAGAGGTGCATGCCATCATCTCAGCAGTATATTTCAGTTGGCTATGGTAGTGTGTGCCTTAGTCCCAGCTACTTGGGAGGCTGAAGCAGGAAGATCGCTTGAGCCCAGGAGTTTGGAGCCATCCTGGGCAACAGACCCTGTATGAAAACAAAATAAAACAAAACAATAAAACAAACAGGATTTTATGAACCTTGGAAAGAACTCAGGTGTGGAGGGCTGGCCCACCAGATGCATCCATCCTGGTGCTGAGGCAGTGCCCTGACCCCGGCCTCTTGACCTTTCCTCAGGGTGGTGGATAACGAGGGGACACTGCAGCTGAAGAGAAGCTTCCCTATTGAGCAGAGCTCACACCCCGTGCGCAGCATCTTCTGCCCCCTCATGTCCTTCCGCCAAGGGGCCTGTGTGGGTGAGTTCCAGGGGCACTGGGAACCTGGGAGGTTGGAGTGGGTTAGGGTCAGACCTGGTGACACCCAACACCATGACCTCCTGGGCCTCATGACTGCTCATGCCCTCCAGATTCTTCAAACACAGACCCCTAAACACCCCAGAGGGCACCCACTCTGCCTATGGAAGCAGAGTGGCCACATGAGTTCCCAGCTAGGAACCTGGCGCCTTCTTACAGCCTCTCTCTCTCTCTCTCTCTGAACAGTGACAGGCAGTGAGGACATGTGTGTGCACTTCTTTGATGTGGAGCGAGCAGCCAAGGCTGCCGTCAACAAGCTGCAGGGCCACAGTGCACCAGTGCTTGACGTCAGCTTCAATTGTGACGAAAGCCTACTGGCTTCCAGTGATGCCAGTGGCATGGTCATCGTCTGGAGGCGGGAGCAAAAGTAGGGTTGTGCCAGCCCCACTGCTGTCCCCTGTTCCACCTGCACTCCGCCCCAGCCTTGTGTTGTAAATAAAGTTTCTGTGGTTGTGCTGAGGGACAGCTCCCAGATCAGCCAGGAGGTAGCAGGGGAGGGGACGGCTCCAACCTCTGTGGTGAAGCAGGTCCTCCTCGTATTCATCGTGTCCACTTACTCAGTGTCCGCTGTGTCACAGTGGTCACACAGTCATGCCACCAGCAGACAATACAAGCACCAGCTATCTGTCAGGAGCTGTGCTAGGCACTGGGGCCACTGCTGTGACCTAGACTGACAGAAATCTCTGTCCTTATAGCTTTGCATTCCAGAGGAGGCAAGGGGGCCATATGTAGAAACACAGCCAGTCCTAATTTACCATGTTTCAATTTGTGATCTTTCAACTTGCCGAGGTTTTACTTTCTGATGGTGCACAGTGTACCTGTGTGGCCAGTATGGTTCCACTCTCAGTGCAGTATCAATAAGTGATAGAGCTAGTCAGCACTGCATCATACCACAGGCTTGGTATTGGCTGAGTTGTGCTTAGGTTAGGTATAATTAGTGCATTTTAACATTGGCTGGCTCTCCTCCCCTCCCCTCCCCTCCTCTCTCCTCTCCTGTCCTCCCCTCCCCTTCCTCCCTTCTTCCCTCCCTCCCTCAATCTTTCTTTTTTTCTTTCTTTTTGAGATAGGGTCTCACTCTGCAATTCAGGCTGGTCTTGAACTCACTGTGTAGCCCAGGCTGGCCTCAAACTCCCAGTGTTCCTCCTGCTTCAGTCTCCCAAGTGCTGGGGTTATAGGTGTGTGCCACCACACCCGGCTTGACATAGGATATTTTCATTTTCTGATGGACTCATAGCCCCATCATAAGTCAAGAAGCATCTGTACATAATAAGCCAGCAAAAGACAAGGTGTGACGAAGGCAGAGAGAGGTGCCGAAGTAGTGCTGGGCTTTCTTGGTGATGTTATGAGGGAAAATCCTTCCGAAGAACAAACAGAGACCTGAGTGAAACAGTAGTGGAGATGCTGAGGAAGGAATACTGGATTCCCCTCACAGGCTTCTATTGGGCCGCTGGACTCTGCCAGCTCGTCATGCGGGCTGAGACTCCGTGTGCCCCACACGTCTGCATTGTATTTTTTTCCCCACAGCAGGGAGCAGAGGTATTTTGTTTTGCTTTTTCTTGTTTGGGCTTTAGGTTTTTGAGACAAGGTCTTGTTCTGTATCCCAGTGTGGCCTTGAATTCACTATGTAGCCCTGGGTGGGCTTGAAGTCATATTCCTCTGCCTTAGCCTCCTGAGTGCTGGAATTATAGGTGTTCATCACTACCTGGGTAAAATGTTTGGTGCACTAAGTTGGTACAGGGGCAACCATGGGTCCCGAGACTGAGCTAGAGGTTCCTGCAGTGAGATGGAAGCAACAGGAAATCTTCAGTCTCCTCCCATGCCCATTCAGGGCCCAAACAGAAGCCTTGGAACAGTTCAGAGGCCAAAAACTGATACCAGTATGGAGCTCTGAGCCAGGAGAGACTGCTTGGATGGATGCAAAGGGATAAATTACACAAATCTTTGTCAGTGGCAGGAGTCACTGGGAAATGTCAGGCTCTTGCTCCAGCTGCGCCCCCTCCAGCACCACATGTTAGCGCATACACATCAATTTGAACTGTGGCTAACACCCTGGGACCTCAGGGCTGGCCCACAGAGTCACAGAGATTCCAGCCTGATAGCCCAGTGTTACCACAAGCTATGGGACTGACACTAGCAGTCTGGTTCAAGGAGGACCATCATCTGCTGTTGGCTGAGGGTGCTGTTATTTGATGATGTGGTTACTTGCAGTCCAAAGCATTTGTGACCGGCACTTCCATCTGACAAAGCTTAGGGTAAGTGCTATGCAGTAAGGATATTTGTGAGCTGGATTGTTCATGCAGTGAAGGTCATGTACGTAGCTGCAGGCCCTGAGATGGGCTAGGAAGACACACAAGAGCCAGCGTATGGTTGTATTCATGGCTGTAACTGGTAATAGCAGAAAGCTCCAGAGCCATGTCAGCAAAGGGAAATGGCACACTGGACCAGGTCAGGGGAGACCAGTGCAGGTGTGCACAGTTACTGTAGTCCCAGGTTGTGACAACACACGTCCTGTTGCCAAGCAGGGGAGCTCATCAGAGACTCGATGTCCAGGGCTCTTATTGAGCTGTTCATGTAGGTACTCCTGCCCAGCCCGTACTAGGTTCTGGAGCCACAGAAGGAAAGTAGGTGCTCAGCATAAGCCACTCCCCTTGTGCAGACAGCTTAGGCAGAGCGAGCCAGTACCTCCAGAGAAAGCCCTGAACTGCCCATTTCTAGATACCAGCCAGGGTCAAGCTCGAAGCCACCCTCCCGAGGACAGAGCTCAGGCCAGCTGCCTGCTTCTCTGTGCAGTTTGCAAGGCTGACCAGGTGCTCGGGTTCAGCCAAGATTTGTGGACAAGGTAGTTTGGGGAACCTCAGTTTTCTCTAACTTCTTTTCCTCTTCGTGTCTGTTACTGAGTCTGTTTTCAGGATGATTAGTCATGATTATTGTGCATGATTTGGGGTTTTCTTTGTGAAATTTTTGAGGTAGTGGAGTCAACATTCTACTTTTAAGTTCATCTTGGTGATACTTTTCTTGACTCACAATCTAAGGGGAAATAAATACTGAACAAATAATAAAGAATAAAAACTAATGTTCTTGGTCAGACTTGGGCCTCTGTGAACTCGTCTGTCATCGCTGGGCCTGTGTCACATCAGATCTGGACCTCTGTTAGCCATTCCACCTCAGAGCCAGGCCTCTGTGAGCAGATCGGTGCCATTTGGCTTTGTCCCTGAGTACTTGTTAATTACTTCACCTTCAGAGAGCTTCTGTGCTCCCAGCTGGAAACTGGGCCTCTGTTAATTTTTATCTTGCCTGTATCCCTCCAGCCAAACATCAAACCAAGGTTTCTGCAAAGTACTCTGCCATTAACTGGCTTCTGATAGGAACTTTAACCTGAGCTACTAATGAGTTTGTGACCAGTGCCCATTTTCTCTGAAGACCCTAAATCCTGACCTTGTCAGCAATTGAGAAGCTGAGACAGGAGGATCTCTTTGAGTTTGAGGCCAACCCGGGCTACATAGTGAGTCCAAGGCCAGCCTGAACCCTGTCTCAATAAAATAAAATAATAAAAATCTTGACCTTGCATCTGGGCCTCTATTATTTAACCATCAATACCTTTACGGGGTCCATTCCAGCCTATACTTCTTTGTTAACCGTTGGACTTCAGATATTTGTATGGTCCAAACTTTAAGCCCAGCCCTCTGTTAACTGTTCTGGCATCACTGTCTCTGACTTCAAATCTGGGATTCTTTATTTTTGGTGCTAGGATTAAACCCAGAGCCTTTCAAATGCTAGGCAAGAACTTTAACACTGTGATATAAGCCCCAGCCCCAGGGCATTTCTTTCTTCTTTTTGGGGAATGTACTGGGGTTCAAATCCAAGCTTCTACCTTGAAGCTATATCCATAGTACTTTTTTTTTTGGAGGGAAGGGTCTACAGGGTGTTCAGGGTCTCACTACTAGATGAGACTCATAGTGATCCACCTGTTTTCAGCATCCCAAGGGCTGGGATTACAGGCGTGCACAACCATGCCTAGTCTCAATTGCCATTTCAGCATGCCTTGAGGGTGGGGCACCTGCTTGTGGGCACTTTAATCTGCTTAGCTATTTGGCCGGCCCTCACAGTACTTTTTATTTGAGATAGGATCTCACTAAATTACCTTTGAACTGGCCATCCTACCTCAACCTGCAGAGCAGCTCGGAATACAAGGCCCCACAAGCCAGGACAGCCTTAGGATTTCTCAGTGTTTCCACTACCAGTCCTGTCTATATCACCTCAGACCCAGGCACTTGAAACTATCACTACCAGCATTCATCTGGTCTACCCACAAATTTAGGCCTCCACAGGGTTGCACTGTGTAGTACAGGCTGTCCTTGAACTCACTTTGTAGCCCAAGCTGGCCTCGAACTCACAGTAATCTTCCTGCCTCAGCCTTCCAAACACTAGAATTACAGGTGTGTACCACCATGCCCAGCCTCTTAGTTTTACCTTTTTTTTTTTTTTTTTTGGGAACCCGGGGATTGAACTCAGACCCTTGTGCTTGCCAGGGAAGCGCTTATTCCACTGAGCCATCTCCCCGGCACTTATTCTACTGAGCTATCTCCCCAACCCTTTAGTTTTACCTTAAATATGAGTCTTTTTAACATTTTCATCAGCATCATGGGACTCTATGTACAATCTCACCAAGAAGAACTCTTTGTTAGACCTTTGAATCCAGGCTTCAGTTAATTCATGATCAGTGCTTTTCAGATCAGAAACCTGAATTTGAGTATTTGCTGACTTTCCCTTTTTCTTATTTTCCAGTAATTTTGAGACGGTCTCACCATATAGTCCAGGTTGGCCTCGAACTCACTATGTAGTCTAGGCAGTCCTTGAATTTACAGTCACCCTCCTGCCTCAGCCTCCTGTGTATGGGAGTTATAGGCATATATCACCATGCCTGGCCTTGTTCAGGTTTTCATACTCAGCACTGCTCTGGCCTGACTGTAGTAAACTAGTAGTTATACCCTGATCTTACCTCAAGCCCTGGCTTCTTTTTATTATTCCTCTGTAACTGCAGCTATGATCTGATTTTTTGTGGGAGGGAGGATTGTACTGAGGATTGAACCCAAGGCATTGCATGTGTCTGGCACGTGCTCTGCTACTGACCTACATCCACAGCCCTTTTAAAATTATTACTATTTTTTTTTTTTTTTTGGTCAGAACCGGGGATCGAACTCAGGCCCTTGTGCTTGCCAGGGAAGCACTTATTCCACTGAGCCATCTCCCCGGCCCCTTTTTATTTTAAGACGGAGGACAACTGTAAGTTTGAGGCCAGCCTGGGATACATAGTGAGTTCAAGTCTAGCCTGAACTACATAGTGAGATCCTGTCTCAATCAATCAATCAAGGACTTCCGGGAAGATGGCAGAGGGCTGAACAGCAGAGAAACAGCTTCTCTGAGATTTGATGTCCACACACTGGAACATAGCGATGTGAGGAAGAGGAGGAGGGAAGTGGGTCCCAGGGCCCAATCGAGGGCCTGAAGC